TTTTAAATACTATTTATTTATTTATTTATTTATTTATTTATTTATTTATTTATTGTTTTTTTTGAGACAGGGCCTCCCTGTAGCCCCAGCTGTTCTGGAAGTTACTATGTAGACCAGGCTGGCCTTGAACTCACAGAGGTCCGCCTGCCTCTGCGATTATTTTATGCATACACGTGTTTTGCCTGCATGTATGTAAGTATACCCATGTTGGGCAATGCCTACAGAAGTCAGAAGAAGGTGTCAGATCCCCCAGAACTAGAGTTACAGGTAGTTGTTAGCTGCCATGTAGGTGCTAGGACTGAACCTGGGTCTTCTGCAAGAGCAGCCAGTGCTTTTAACTTCTGAGCCATCTCTCCAGCCCCATCTACCTTGTTTTTTGAGACAGGGTCTCTCACTGTGTCCTAGAGAATGTTTGCCCTCATAGGCTAAGGATTCGGTGAGCTTCAAGAATCCTTCTGTCTACCCTTCCCCCTCTGCCATGCTCAACTTTTTTATGTGGGTTATGAAGATTGAACACGGGTCCCCAGGTTTGCTTGGTAAGTGCTTTATCAACCAAGTCATCTCCAAACCCTTATGCTTATTTTTTTTGCTAGCTGGTAAATAACCAACTAGAAAAACAGACGAACCTTGGGATTGTCTAGTGCTATGGAAAAACACAGAGACAATATCAGAATTGTATATTGTTCATTTTGCTGTTTGGATAAGAAAGTCTGGACATCCCCCTCCATGTTTATTATTATAGATGTCTCCAGAGCTCTGCCTTTTAATTATTCAGTTTAAGAACTTTTAAGTTAAAAGAACTTTTAAGTTAAGGGCTGGAAAGATAGCTCATCTCACCGGGTGCTCTTGCAGAGGACTTAGGCTCAGTTCCCTTCTAGGGCATCTGATGCCCTCTTCTGGCCTCTGTAGGCTATGGGCACTGCATACATGTGGTGCTCATACATACATGTAGGCAAAGCACTCATACATATAAAATAAAAATAAACAAATTAAGAAGAAGAAGAAGAAGAAGAAGAAGAAGAAGAAGAAGAAGAAGAAGAAGAAGAAGAAGAACTCAGAAGTAGGTGGATCTCTGTGAGTCGGAGGCCAGCTTGGTATACATAGTGAGTTCTAGGCCAGCCAGGGCTACATAGTGAGAGACCCTGTCTCACAAAAAAAGATAGAGGATATATTTCTCCCATTCCTAAAATAATGTGCAGCGTGTAGTGATGAATCTGTGAGTTCCAGGTCAGCTGGGGTTACAGGGAGACACTGTCTCAAAAACAAAACAACAACCTCACCCAAAATTCCAACACCTCATAAATCAAATGTAGAAACAAAAGAGAGAACATGAATTTTAGGGTCTGGTGTGTCACCAGTCTATCTTCCAGGTGAAGCAGGCTGCCTCTCCTGCCAAGTATCTATTGGGACCAGTCCCAACCAGCTTTAAATCTCATTCCCCAGTCATCACCCCTGTATCCTCGCCTACTGTCTCAAACCTTCCTCAGCCTGAGGAGCATGCCAGGCACCTGGAAAGGGATCCCTGCTTACCCGAGGATTGCTGAACGTGAGCCAGTGCTTCACCTGGTCCCCAAAGATCTCAAAGCACAGGTCAGTGTAGTCCCTGAAGTAGTGAGTCTGTATGTGACCTGGAGCAGCTGCCAACAGAGAGAGAAGGCAGTGTCCTGTGGAGATGCTGGAGCAGATCGGCCATGTGTTGGATAGAAATGTGGTCATGTGACTATAGCACAGAGGATGGGAGCAAAGACGCAAGGTGGGGTACCTCATGATGAACCACTCACTGTGCTGTCTAACCCTGGAAAACCAGTCCTTAAGCCAGAAACACATAGGGTGGGGAGCAGAAGAAGTCAAGACTCCTGCTTGCAAGGAGGCTGACAGAGTGGACATTTAGGAAAACATAAACCGGACAGTGACACATGCACTCTTTTTTTGGTCTGGAACTCACTATGTAGACCAGACTGGTCTTGAACTCACAGAGATCACCTGCCTCTGCCTCTCGAGTGCTAGGATTAAAGGTGTGTGCCACCATGCCCAGCTGACACATGTACTCTTAACTGCTGAGAAAATCTCTCTGGCCTCTCAACTTTCTTTTCTTTTTTTGGGGGGGAGGTGAGTGTTATTGAGATAGGATCTCATTATGTAGCCATGGCTGGCCCAATACTCACTATGTAGACCAGGCTAGCCTTGAACTCAAAGAGATTCACCTGCCTCTGCTTCCAGAGTGCTGAGATTAAAGACACATGCTACCATGTCTGACCTTGATCCCTCCACTTTATTTTATGAGACAAGGTCTCTTACCTAACTTTGGAGCCAGCAAGCTCCAGGGATCCTTCAGTCTCCACCTCCCAGGGCTAGGATTATAAATACATACCACCATGTTCCCCATGCCTGGCTTTTTACATGGGTGCCAGGACAGAACTTGGGTCCTTATGCTCGCACAACCAACATTTTACCAGCTGATCCATCCTCCCAGTCCGATGAATGTTTTTTTTCCCTCGAATTCAGGTTGAAATTTAGTCTCCAGGTCAGAGTGGTAAGAGGTGCGTTCTGGGAGGTGACTAGGTCCTGAACCCTCCTCATGAATGGATTAGGTGCCCTTATAAAAGTATTTAATGGAAGTTCATCCCTTAACCCTTTCCTCCTCAGCCATGTGAGGGCATAGTATTCAGGGCACCACCTTGAAATCTTTTGGCACCTTGACTTTGAACTTCTCAGGACTGGTAGAAATAAATTTCTGTTGTTTATAAGTCCCCCAGTCTGTAGTATTCTGTCACAACAGCACACACAGGTAAGACAGCAAATTACTCCCCAATCCTTTTGTCTAGAACCCAGACCCCAGATTCTACCCCTTCCTTGGTCACCCCAGGTTCTCATGCCAGGTTCCTTCCCACTGAGCCCAGGTCCTCTGAACCTGCCTGGCTCGCACCTGTGGCAGATCCCAGTGGTACAAGGTCACAGTGGGGGTGGTGTTACTCTTCAGCAGGCTGTCGATGAAGTCACTGTAGAATTTGACTCCCTTCTCGTTCACCTGCTCAGCTGTAGAAACAGAGGAAGACTCTGGGGGAAAGGACCTTGGCCTTGCCAGCTGAGGTGCAGCAATCTTGAGGCCCATTGCTTTTTTTATTTTGTTTAGTTTTGAGACCAGGTCTCCCTATAACTGCAGCTGACCTGGAACACGCTGTGTAGACCAGGCTGGCCTCAAACCCAGAGATCTGCCTGCCTCTGCCTCCCAAGTGCTGGGATTAAAGGCGTGCACTAATCATGCTTGGTGATCCATTGCTTTTTTCAGCCCACGATGTCCTGAACCTCAGAGGAGTGCTGTTGGTATGCTTGGGAGCCCTGTTACCTGCCAAATCTATGCTCCTGGGCTGGTCGCTGTCCCTGACTCCAGTCCCTGTAGTGCCTAGAGAGGGACTGTTGTAGCTCACCTCGGATGCTGGTGGGCAGGAGCCGTGGCCAGGACAGGGAGAACCGGTAGTGGCTGACTTGTAGCTCCCTCAGTAGGTTGATGTCCTCCTGTGAAGACAGGGTAGGGAGGCAAGGCTGGGCCACCTGGGGCCATGGGGTGGGGAGGGGGAAGCAGGGTTTGGGACCCCATAGCCTCACTCCTGTAAGTAGTTCTGAGTGGGTGTCCTCTACACAATAAGGGCTATATCACTTGTTCCCTCTCCTCATTGGTAATGTGTACACAGACAAAAAGTTGGGGGACCTTTGAGAGGTTCATGTAAGGTTTCTCATAAATTTGACTGAGAGAAGGGGCTGTCAAGGGTATACTGTTCCATGGCCTCCAAAGGGCTCAGCTACTGTGACCTAGGGGCTCTGCAGGCCAAGATACCAGCTCTTCAACTCCCCAACCCTCATTGCTTAGACTAAGGTGAGACCTGGCTTTCTTGCTTTCCTCCTGCATCGTGACACCCATAACTCCAGCCACCGCTATTCCACCCTCTTTTGCTGTGCTGGGTTGACACTGTCATCCCCACTTATTGGGCAGGTGGCACACGCAACTCCCCTTCCCTCACCTGGACCTTATAGTAGCTATCACAGGTTGTATCTGCTGTGTCATCCCCGACCACCTTCCCCTTCCTGGCATGCGTGAAGGCACTCCAGATGCTGGGCCCTTTCCCGTCCTGGTCCCAGGTACCCTCTGTCTGGTAGGCAGAACTGCCCGCATCCCAGGAGAATCCTGCAGAGAGAGACCCCACACTGGTCCCTGGGCCACCCCGCCTTTACCCAGAGCTGGAACTCAACTATGCTTCCTGGGCTCAGAGTATCCACCCACAAGCTGCCCTGGCTCCCTAATGTGGTGGGCAGGAAGGGGAAGATAAGATAATTAAAAAATATTTTGTGTATAGTTTTAGATCTGATTAGCATCAATTGTCTGTGCAGATTTTAGTAACTTTTATGTTTTTATTTTAATTTTTTTAGGCAGGGTTTCACTATATAGCTCTCCTGGAAATCACTATATAGACCATGCTGGCCTCTGCCTCCTAAGTGCTGGAATTTAGGCTTGTGCCACTATCCCCAGCTTGCCTGGCCTTAGTTTTAAATCTTTATTTATGTATATATTTGTGGTGTGTGTGTGGGGATTCACGCATGTGTGAGTGCAGGTACCTGTGGAGGCTAGAAGAGGATGTCAGATCCCCTAGAGCTGAAGCAACAAGGTGGATGTGAGCTGCTGATGTTGATCCTGGTAACTGAATGCTTCAAGAACAGTAGAGTTCTTAACTGCTAAGACATCTCCTTAACTATTATATTATATAGTGATAATAGACTTGTTAAAAGTCTCTGGGGGACTGGAGAGATGGCTAAGTGGTTAAGAGCACTGGCTACTCTCACAGAGGACCTGGGTTTAGTTCCTAGCACCCACATGGTGGTCAACAATTGTCCATTACTCCAGCTCCAGGAGAATCCAGTGCCCTCTTCTGCCCCCATAGGAACTGCATGACACAGGTGCACTTACATACATGCAGGCAATACACTCATCCACATAAAATAAAAATAATAAATAAAATATTATTTAAAAATTTATGGGGCTGGAGAGATGGCTCAGCGGTTAAGAGCACTGATTGTTCTTGCAGAGGACCCGGGTTCGAGTCCCAGCACCCACATGGCAGCTACGAACCGTCTTTAACTCCAGTTCCAAGGGAATCTGAAGCCTTCTTTTGACCTCCGTGGCATTGCACGCATGGGTGCACTCACATACATGCAGGCAATACACTCGTATACATAAAATAAAAATAATAAAATAATAATAAATTTTAAAAAATAAATCTTTGGGTTAGGGACATAGCTCAATAGCTCAGTAGCAAAGTGCTTGTCTAGTACGGACAAGGTGGTAGGTTCAATCCTTGGCACCACACAGACATGCACACACACACAACACACAGAGGCACACACAGATACACACACGCACACAGAAACATGCATACAGGCACACAGACATACAGACACACAAAGACACATACATATCTATCAGGAAGTTTTATTTTAGTACATCCACATTGGGGTATGCCCCCCAACTTACCAGACAGGAAGTCAGAACATACAACTCCCTGGCAGGCCAGCCAAGGTCAGGCAAACCAAAAGAGACAGACAAACAGATGGGCAGTCAGAACTGGAATAGCAGAGGAATGGACCTACCAGGTGGGAAAGTTCCATAGTAGGAGGCCTCTTCGGAGGAACCTCTCCCAGCAGCTCCCAGCCTGGGCCCCAGCAGAACCCACCCAAGACAAAGACCCACACCGACTTCATGACCCTCAACACTCCCCCATGCCTGAGAAGGATCACTGTCCAAGCATGGGGACACAGGCCAGGAAGGGAGGAAGAGGGGCCCGGAGTGATTTATCTGGTCTCACAGCAGGAGAGGGGGAGCCTGTGTTAAACAATGGGCAGGAAATGAAGCTGGGCTGATGGGCCAGACTCCAAACCAGCCCCTCTTCCCAACTGTGGTGTGATGGGATGTGGACCACACCCCTCAAATAGGTCATAGCTAGTTGGGATCTTGTCTCTGCCTGAGGAAGCTCCAGTCTGCTGGGGGAGCCTGAACAACAGAGTCCCTTCAGCCCTCCCACCGGCTCACTGTGCAGTCTGTATCAGGTTCCTTCCCTAGGTGGGGCTCTCCATTCTCCGTTGTTGCAGAGCCCATTCTCACTGGAACTCCCTGCCTGATCCAGCCCAACCAGCTTACCCAAGATAGTCCAACTCACTCTCAGGGTGGATACTGGCAGCCTCAGCTCCCTCTGAATGACCCCTGGGGCCTGCACTCCCCAGAGCAGAGCCTATAAACATGGAAGACTCTGGTGGGGGTGTGTGGTCTGTGGTCTGATCCCAACAAAGAGCTTCAATAGTTCCACAGGGAGGGGACAGGCAGGAGCACTGAGCTGGCCAGAGGGGCCTGAGTCAGCAGTGTGTTGGCCCTGGGCCCTGGGCATCCAGATGGCACCATTCCAGGGAAGGGGGGGAGGGGACCTAGTCCTCTTAACTACTTCCAGTCCAGGAGTACCATCTCCAGCACAGTCCTGGGTATCTCTAGGTGGGGGTGGCGGACTGGGAACCAGCTGTGCTGACATGTTGTAGTGTGTACTCCTCTTGCTGTAGAAAATCCCTGAAGAAAGTGATGCTTGAGTTTTCCACCTAAACCTACATCTCTTTGGATCTCTCAGGTTTCTTCAGCTTTCTCATTCGGTAGTGCAGGCCTATGAGAACACGTGGGCTGAGGCTCCCACCGCCTGCTCTCATCCAGAGGTATCCTTCCTGGCAGTGAGTCTCCATCAGAAAGGCCTCCTCAGTCATAGTCTTCCCTCCAGCCCCCAGTCTCTGGCCTTCCTGCCTCTACTGCATGTGTCTTTCTCAAGCCACAGGCCTTACTCCTTTGTCGCTGGTTAATGCTCTAGGCATTCCACCAGCAGCACCACCTCCTCTAGGAAGTCCTTCTAGACCAGACTAGCTCTAGACTCTCCAGCCCTGCCCTTGCATGTCAGCTGTTGATGTGTCATAGCCCCCTTCCAGAGACTTCCTCCCCTTGGGAGACAGAGGCATGCCTGCCCCTTCACCCAGTATCCATAGGGCCAGCACAGTGGGCAGTCAATGGTGTGGGGCCGTAAAAATGGCTACTCCTTTGTGTTGATTAACCTTGCTTGTCAACTTGATGGGATTTAGAAAGATTAAAAGTATGCACCACCATGCCTAGCAAGACTTTTTGTTAATTACTAAAACCAGGCTGGGAGGTATCTGGCTTAGCAGTTAAGAGCTCTGCTGTTCCTGCAGGTACCTAAGTTTGGTTTCTAGCATCCCACAGTGGGCAGGTCTTACATCAGTTAATGTAATTAAGATAATCCTTCAGTCATTCTCAGAGGCCCTTTTCCCATGTGATTCTAGATGGTGTTGAGTTGACCATGAGCACTAACCATCATAATACTTCTCCTCCATTCTTTTTACCCTTGGGTCCCCCATGTTCTTCTCCACAAGCCTACCAGCAGCTGGAGTGTGAGGGGACCAGGAGGCTGGGGAGGGGTTCTAAACATTGCATACGATGATGAATGGGAAGGAGAGTTGCCTCACAGGGGAGGGATGTTGGAAAGGGCTCTTGAAGGATGTGGGGATACTTGCCAAACGGTGCAGGACAGGTAGGGCATGGCCACAGATAGAAGGGACAATATAAACATCTTCCCCAGGTGTGTTTGGGGACCTGGTGGGACGTTCCCTCCCCTTCCATCTGTACTGCAGTGCCAGGAGAAGTCATGTGCAGAGCTGAGAGGGTTGCTGGGCATCTCCCCTGGTATCTAAAGCATACATGAGCTATTTACTATGGAACCACCTTGTTGACCAGTTGATTCTAGGTATGCTGTGTTCTGGGCTGACAGTGGCAGGAAACATAACACTTTAAGAACTGATGTCATATCTGAAAAATGTCCATCCCAGGAGTCTGGGCCTGATCCCAGCATGGAGGGTCTGCCTCGGGTCTGTGGAGAGGCCTGGCTTTCCTTCCACAGGTTCCAGACCCAGCTTTGGCTGGAAGGGGAGAGACTCTCAGAGCTCCTTCCTGTTCCCTGCTCCACACAATAACACACAGCAGGGGCTACCTGACCCCTGCCTGAGGTCTGAGCAGGTAGGATCCTTCCTTAGGGCAGGGGTCCAAGTTCCCGATGGCCAGGCCTGGGCTGACTGACAAGGTGTGTTAAGAGAGCGAGTGAGGCTCTTGCTCCAATAACCCCAACTTCTTCGTTTTTCCCACTAGCAAGGGGCTGTGGAGTTGGGGGTCCCCACTAACAGCCCCCTTAAGACCTAGACTTGGCCTGAACTCTGTGATTTTGATGGTGGACTGAGTAAAAGTGATTCCCAGTCCTGGGTGGCACTGTGGGTCGCCACAGATAGGACATGTGGGAATTGTAACCATTCTGGTGGGAATAAAAGTATTCTAAAAAGAGACATTTGTGCCCCTTGTTTTGGTGATCAGACTATTGCAACAATGGTCCCCAGGGATCTCATGCTCGGAGAAGGAAAAGGCTGAATGAAGCCTGGTACTAGCTAGAGGGGGAGTTTGTCTCCAAGGAAGAGATTTCACACAGTTCTGACAAATGATCAGAACACCTTGCAAGAGAGCCTGGAGCCCAGACATGATCAGTCAGGGATGGATGGGACCACATCTTGACCAGGACTGCTTAGCTACATAATTCTGGTCCTCTGCCTAAATCTAAACATCATATTGGGACCCTGAAGATGGACTTAAGGGCTCACTGGACTCCTTTGTTCCTCTTCCCATTAAAAGTCTGTTCAATTTCCCCAGGGAGGAAGTTTATTTTCCCCCAAATAAAGAGGTTACACACAGGGCCAGGGAGATGGCTGAGGGGAGAAAGGTGCTTGCCACCAAGCCTGAATTCGATTCCTCAGTCTCACATTGTGGAAAGAGAGAACCAATTTCAGAAAGTCTTCTGACCTTCACACCCCACCCCCATAAATAAATAAATAAATAAATAAATAAATAAATAAATAAAACTGTGAGTCCAGTTATGTGAAATGAACAAGTTTATTAGGGTTACTTATAGGCACATAGGCCACTCATAGGCAGCTGTACCGGAGAAAAGTTCCATGCCCCTTCCCTCAAGCTCATGTTTTATGTGGCTGTAAGTCTGCAGTAGAGATAACACATGCCTGAGGCAGAGCATCACCTACTGTTAAAGTGTGCTGGGTGACTAGAGGCCAGACAACATGAGGCACAAACAAGATTGGACTCTGGGCAAGTTCTGTGTTTGTATGCCCTCTATTCTGGCTCTAATTGGGGGTTCTGCCTGTCTCGGCAGATGTTGTCCAGCATGGGAAGGTTGGCCTGCTTTGCTGCATTCTGGCGCATGGAACAGCTAGCTCAATGGTAACTCTGGCTAGGCTTCGGTGCTCTGGTCCCACAATAGAGTGGTTTTCTCAGGACCCTCCTGACCAACATTACGGACCTGGTGGTTCTCTTCCCTGGCCCTGAAAGCTAGTGTTTCTCTAGAGCACTTTAGGAAATGCTCAAGCCCCTCCTACTCCCAACTATGCCTGATTACCCACTCCCTTACTCCCTATGCCACCAGCCCTGTAGGCCAACTCAGCTGTACCCCCCAGTCCTGAGATAAGGGGACAACCCTAGGGTCAGAATCCTGAGTAGAGCCAAGGTTCGGTGGTGGCATGTTGGGTAATGTTGAGCCAGCTATTGCCCCTCTCTGGGCTTTCATTTCCTCCTCTGTAAAAAAGAAGGTGGCTTTATAATAAATAAGTAAATAAATAAATAAATAAATAAATAAATAAATACATGGAAGGAGCTTCTCTGGATGCATCTGGCTCATACCTGTACCCTCAACTGTTCGTGAAATTGAGAATCACTTGAGTCTAGGAGTTTAAATGCCAGTTTGGGCCACATACTAAGACCTCTATCTCTAATGAATGAATAAAAAAGAAAGAAACAAGAGAAAGGAAGGAAACAAGATAGGAAAGAAGGAAAGAAGGAAGGTAGGAAAGAAGGAAGGAAGGAAGGAAAGTAGGAAAGAAGGAAGGAAAGAGGCTGGCTACCAGCCACCTGTTTTCCTTAGCTCTGGTATTCCTGTAAAAAGTGCAATGGTTCAGCAGGTAAGGGTGCTTGCTGCCAAGTCTGATGACCTGAATTGGATTCCTGGAACCTACATGGTGGAAGGAGAGAACTGACTTCTGCAAGTTGTCTGGTGAACTACACACATACACTGTGTCATGCACTTACCCCCAACCCCCACTAAATAAATGTAAAAAAATAATAAAGAGGTGACAGATTGTTTTCAGGCATGTTAGTTTTGTGGTGACAGGAAGGTGGTCAGAACAGATAGCAGGGGAGCTTGGCAGGGATGAGTAGGGTTGGCCCAGTCTGTTAGGAGGTCACAGCACCTGTGTGTGTGAGTGGCTCCAGGGAGTCAGTATGGGGACAGAGCCCGATGTAGAAGCTGTGGGTGTGGAGTTGGTTTGGAGGTTTGGAGGGCAGAGGACAGTGCAGAGGGCTGTGGAAAAGAGGAGGGTGGGTGAGGACCACGGGCCCCTGAGTCAGCCCTTGGATCCCCTGCTCAGTGGTTTACTAGTCAGGGGCTACATTCTGGCCACTCACCTTCTACTTAGGTTTTCCAGTCTAAGGACAATACACTAAACAATACACCTGCTTTGTGGGGTCACTTGAACATTGAATGGCATGACAGCTGTAAGTGCTTAATCTAGTGCCCAGCAGAGAAAAATGTCTCCAGAAGGGACCCTGTCACCAATAGCATCATATTATCTAGGCCAAAAAATATAGCTGTGTCACTTTTCATGGAACTCTGGGCAAGGCACAGCACTCTAGGGACTGTGGGCTCTGTAGGGAGCCAGGCTCTGCCCTCTGGAACCTGGGTTCCCACCTGTAAGAGCATGGGGCTCGGCAGTAAGCAGTGATGGGGGACAGGGGGAGGCTGTTCTCTTCTGTGCGGTATCACAATCTGCACAGGAGACTTCTGTCACCGCCTCCTGGATTTCTCCCCAGCAGTGAGGAAGCCATTGATTCTACTGTGGGCACCAGTCAATGACTTCTGATCCAATTCCACATCCACAGGTCAGACAGGGTCAGACACCCCCACTCACTCCCCCAGTCCCCCACCCCCTCACACACTGAGGTCTCACTCTCCCCAAGGCTTCCCT